ACACAATCACACACAACTCCTCCCCGGCAGCGCAGCACAACAGCACCACACTATCACGCGATTTCTACCAGAAAGAAAACGATTTCAGTTCCTCTAGAGTCTAGAGTCACCGTAGCATCCGCGCGCGGCGGCATTCCGTGCTACAAGTGTGGGCAACCCCGCAAAAATGACAAGGGTACGCACACCGACGCATCGCGATCAGCCGAGCATCAAATAACGCAAGTATCTAGCTTTCACGATTACATCGTCAGTCCCATTCGATTGTGAACAAAATAATAAACACATAAACAGAGACATGATGCGACGCAACTTTCTGAATAACTCCTCCATAGCAGTTGGGAGATTTAGGTCTATAAGGATTGGGTTACTTCGCAATATACTTATATACAGTCATCAGACCATTCATTATCCTTGATGATACCTCTGTATATCGCATTACGAACAGCAGAGAGGCAGACGCGCCCATTGTACGGCGAGCAAGCTTATAAATCGTATTATACGCCTCTGATCGATAGCGCTTAGAAAAAAGTTGTGAGCTCTTTACAGGTACTTTTTGAGCTCTATCTCGCGCTTCTCTCCTCCATCGTCGTCTCTCTCTCTCTCTATACTCTCTCTCTCTCTCTCTCTCTCTCTTCTCTCTCTCTCCTCCTCTCTCTCTCTAGTCTTCTCTCTCTCTCTCTCTCTCTCTCTTCTCTCTCTCTGCTCATCTCTCTCCTCTCTCACACTCTCTCTATTCCTCTGCTCCTCTTCTCTCGCTTCTCTCTCTCTCTCTCTCTCTCTCTCTCTCTCTCTCTCTCGGCTCTCTCTCATCTCTCTTCGTCTCTTCTCTCTCTCTCTCTCTCTCTCTCTCTCCATCCGCGTCTCTCAGTTTCCCTCTCTCTTTCTCAGCAGGCTAATTCTTTCCCACTCGGCGCGGGGCACACCTGCGACCACATATCGTTACGCAACGCGGCGAAATGCAACCTTTCTTCCCAGCCATACCTTTCTCTGAAAGAGGAAACCTAAGCTGGCTGGAATGGCTATCGCCGCGCGCACATATTAGTATATATCTAAGGGTAGACACCACCACCTCCACCACAAACCTAGCAGGTACAGCCACGTGAAGCAGGGTGCCCTATAAAGGGGAGAGGCCGAGTTGGAACAAGAGCGAGAGCACCGAACAGCGAACAGAAGACAAGATGAAATTTTTATTGTGAGCGTACCGGAATCGTTATTTATTTGTTCTTTTTTTTTCATTTATTGTTTTTAACGTTTCTGATGTTTATGTGTGTAACGTCGCGCTTTGTTGCCCGTTGCACCCTACTGACGTCGGCTACAAGTGGGCTCTTCCATTATAGCTGTGGATAAGGGTAAACGTTAGGAAACAAACGAGGTCAGCATAAGAGCCTTACCAGAGTGCTTGACAGGCATTGTGGAAATTCTGAAAACACAAGGAATGGGTCAAGATACCATCGGAAAGCGCGTTTGCTGGATGGAACACATAATAGTTTACGCACAGAAACACGCTCTTGCACATGCACATTAGGCCTTTACACACGTGCAAGCACACGCGCGCCACACACGTACACCGCACAGCACGCACACCACACACACACACACACACGCACACACACACACACACACACGCACACAGACTACACACACACTAACACACACCGCACCACGCACGCATCGCACGCACGCACGCACGCACGCACGCACGCAACACACCACACACACACCCCCCCCACACACCACACACACACCCACATTACCACAGTGACACACACAAGCACTCACGCACGCCGCCGCACCCCCCCCCCCCCAACACACGCGTAGATACACACGAACGTTGCCAGTGAGCGGAGATAGCTAACATACGAGCATACATGTACAGCTGCCAAAGATATATAAATGACCAGCAGAGACAGTAGAACTAAGAAGGTCGAATTTTTATTGGCGTATGCAGTGTGTGTCTAATACTAGTACTGTTTTACATAACTTGAGTTATTTTTAACTTCCCAACTGTCACACTGACTCAGCTACCTCTGTGGTCGCTCATATCACAACTATAGGACAACTGTAAGGCTATTCGCAAGGCCATGGCAAATATAATACCAGTAACTCTGACCACGCACGTCTGACACGCTACGGGTCCACTGAATATTTTTTTTCCTAGGGCCTGCATTAATTTGTCGATGAATAGAAAGAACTAATTGCTCTAGTTGGTAGGAGGTATGTGTCGCGTTGTCGAACCAAGGTTGACAGCTAAGGTCACGCCAAACGTTTCCTGAGTTTCACAGACGACGCTGTTTTAAAAGAACCCGGCCATTGTCGCCTCTTCATGAAACGCGTCGCTCATCAAAAAATGGACATCAGCGAGCTAATGCGAAACAGATTTCTCTCGCGCGCCTGACACGGGCGCGTCCCACACACGAGCAGACGGTGTAGGGGGCGCTGTAGTCGCGCGCGGGGCACTGTACGCGCGTGTCTGTCAGATCTTTTGTTCCGCGAAAGACGGACGATGTTATAAGAGAGGTTCACGGTAGGAAAATAATGAGGACTGACTGCGGCAAGCTAAACAATTAACCTGGATTTCACACTTCCACACTGTATATAATATTAGTCGTTAGTACCTTGACAAGCCTTGCCCACGAATTGCATAAATGCCTACATACACACGCACTCACATACACACACACACACACACACACACACACACTCACGGACGCACGCACGCACACGCACACACATCGTGAATAATTGAACACGGAACTGATTGTAAGCTACACGGAATTGAATGTGTTCGAAATTAAGGGACCTTACACCGTAATGGTAGAATATAACCCTTACAAAGACGTGCGTCTTAGTTGGATGGGTTATCCCCTTATCCTTGTCTACTTTGAGCTCAGTCTCTGCAAGTCACTTGCATGCGACCGGGTGTCTGTACACCCACGGACACCCCCGCCTACACACTTCGCTTTCTATTTTACGTTCTATACCTCGCCCGTATATTATTTTAGTCTAATTACGCTAAGGCTTGTTGATAAGGCACAACTCCGAGCAAACAGGCTGTTACAAAGCGCTACTGCAGCAATGGCGACAGTACGTCTTCCAGAATTGCCTTAGACAATGCCTATACATACACACTACGGCCCAGCTCAAACCCCGAACCGCATTGTTCGCCGTTGTCTCGCGACTGTACACTTTAACGCCGGTCAATATTTTCATTCTAAATAACGTCGTCGCAAAGTTTCCCGGTAAACAAAACGCGCCGCTAACTCCTCGGCCGCCCCCCGTACGCATGAAATCCAATATTTTCGATTTTTGCCGCGAATAAATAACTCTACTTTGTTCGGCGGTGCATCTGAGGTGGGGTCCGGCAATGGGTTAGCGGCCTCCACTCATCTACGCCCTCACACTCAGCATCGATTGTCCCATGGCATTCGCGTCTATGTTGGAATTTTTGGCGTGTAAAAATCAATATTTGGCCAGAGAGCTCCATTAGCATGTTTATGCTGCTCAGGCAGATCGCTGCAGTAACAGGTTTGTGAGGTGGCCACAGTACCTCACACCCTGGCCAGATACACGCGGGCACGTCTACAGTCTGGTAAAAGATGACCCGTCGTAGCAGCGCGCGAACAGGCGACCCGCATCTCTCTCTCTGTCTCTCTCTCCCTCTCTGTCTCTGCCTCTGTCTCTGTCTCTCTCTCTCTCTCTCTGTCTCTCTCTCCCTCTCTGTCTCTGCCTCTGTCTCTGTCTCTCTCTCTCTCTCTCTGTCTCTCTCTCCCTCTCTGTCTCTGTCTC